AGAGAGAGAGAGAAAGAAATAAAAAAGAAAGAAAAATAAGAAAGCAAAGGAAGCAAGGAAGGATGGGAGGAAAGGAGGAAGACAATTATCTCCTAATCTTATATCCAAAATTTTTCTGTAGTTATCCATTTGATTGTTTTCTGTGTTTCACAGAACACAACATGGCAGAACCTTTTAATTAGACCTGTGTTCTAATATTAATTTATTCATTTATATTAGGATGATGCAAAAGTAATTGTGGTTTCGTTAATGGCAAAAATGACAATTACTTTTGCACCAACCCAATAAATTATGTGACTTTATGCAAGTCACTTATCCTGGAAGTTTGCAAAGAAAAAAGGAGTAAACTTTACAACCATTTTAGAATAATTACTCTTCAGTTCTCCAAGTCAATGTTCTCTTTCTAAAATTGATCTGCTCCAGAAAATACTACAATTAGGATGTAATTCAATTTCTCTTTTCCAACTTTTTTCATGCATTTCTCCTGTGGGACAATCCTATGAATAAAAAACAGAAGGAATGTTGGTAAGAAACATTAAAAGCAATGGAACCTTATTTCATCTATGGTACAACCTACTAAAGAAAAAGTTTAGACCTCCTCCATCTATTCATCTTAGAGTTAGAATTCAGACTCAAGATGATTGTCACAGGAAACACATTAATATGGCTATTTAAAATGAGAAATGAAGTTAGAATTTTAATAATAAGAAGTAATTTTGATTGGTGAGTTCACAAAGAGAACTGGCTTTTCCAATGAGGATTTATAGCAAATATTTCTCATAAATTAAATTAAAAAAATCAGTAACTCCAAAGGTTTGATAATAACTCATTCAAAACATTTAAAATAGTCTTACCAAAACTATTTTATTAGCAAAGTTATGTTGAAACTAACAATATTTGGATTTTTCTAACCTTTCCTGAGTAAATCAGGTTAAACAAGGTGCCTCTATGTTATAAAGTAAAATGACAACTGCTGGTGAATGATTTTTGGTGAATTTTTGATATTCTTTCCAGAAATTAAAAAAGAGGTTGAGTCTACATTCAGGGTGTCATTTGTAAGTCATATTGTATTCTACTCTTTGCTTGCATCAAATATGCAAGACATAATTGAATCATCAGCTGATACAGTATCAAAAATAATAACAACTTAAAAGTCATTCAGAAAAATAAGTGATGTATGTATAATTTCCTAAGTAGAAAACATAATATGTTCATCTATTTTAAAAAAATGAAAGAAAGGATTTTCAATCCTGTCTTATAACATTTTAAAAGGATCATTTTTAAAATTTATTTTAATAGCTTTAGGGAACCAGTGGTTTTAGGTTACACAGATAAGTTCTTTAGTGGAGATTTATGAGATTCTGGTGCACCCATCATATAAGCAGTATACACTGTACCCAATATATAGTCTTTTATCTCTCATTTCCCTCCCTTTATGCCCCCAAGTCCCCAAAGTTCATTATATCATTCTTATGCCTTTGCATCCTATAGCTTGGCTCCCACTTATAAATGAAAACATACAACAATTGGTTTTCAATTTTTGAGTTCCTTTACTTTGAATAATAGCTTCCAATTCCATCCAAGTTGCTGCAAAAGCTATTATTTCCATTCCATTTTATGGCTGAGTAGTATTCTATGGTGTACATATACTACATACATTTTCTTTATCCATTCTTTGATTGATGGACATTTAGGCTGGATCCATATTTTTGCTATTGTAAATTGTGCTGCCATAACATGCATATACATTTGTCTTTTTCATATAATGCTTTATTTTCCTTTGAGTAGATATCCAGTAATGGAATTGCTGGTAGTTCTACTTTGGGGAATTTTAATAGTAGTTCTACTTTTAGTCCTTTGAGGAATCTCCCTACTGCTTTTCACAGTGGATGTATTAATTCACATTCCTACCAGCAGTATAAAAATGTTCTCTTTTCATCATATTCATGCTAACATTTATTATGTTTTTTATTTTTTAATTATGGCTAAGAAAAAAAATATTTTTGAGCATATGAACTATGTGAAAAATATAGTCCCTTTTAAAAATTAATAGTTGCATTTATAACAAATATTTTACTTTACATTATATAAATTTAAAATTTTATTTTATACATTTATACTTGTCAAGATTTATATATATATATATATATATGTTAACTTGATCAATTGTGTATTAATTATAATTACAAATATAACTCAGTTCAGGAGAAACTAATTAGCACTCAGAATCTTGGGGTCATAGGTAATACTAGGACTTAAGGAGGCTGAGCTGGACAGATTGCTTCAGTCCAGGAGATCTAGACCAGCTTGGCATAAAGTAAGAACCCATCTTTACTAAAAATTTAACAATTAGCTGGCCGCGATGGTGTGTATCTAACGTCTCAGCTACTTGGGAGGCTGAGATGGTAGGATTGCTTGAGCCTTGGAGGTTGAGGCTACAGTAAGCCATGATCATGCCACTGTACTCTAGCTAGAGCAACATAGCAAGACCCTAACACAAAAAATAAATATAAATGTATATTACTTTATTATAAAATTATCTAAGGCAAATGAAATGTCAATAAAATTTAAGAAATGAAAGAAATTGTTTAACACTTTTATTGAAAGAAGAGTTTTCTAATGAATTTTTAAATAGTTGTGCATATAAAAGTGTTGTGGTAATCCCATTGCTTGGTGTATAAAGGAATATAAATCATTCTATTACAAAGATACATGCATGCATATTTTCACTACAGCACTATTCACAATAGCAAAGACATGGAATCAGCCCAAATGCCCATCAATGAAAGACTGGATAAAGAAAATGTGATACATACCCACAACATGGAATACTATGGAGCCATAAGAAGGAACAAGATCATGTCATTTGCAGGGACATGGATAGAGCTGGAAGGCATTATCCTTAGCAATGAATGAAGGAACAGAAAACCAAACACCACTCATTCTCACTTATAAGTAGGAGCTGAACAATGAGAATACATGAATAAGGAGGAAAATAACACACACTAGGGCCTGTTGTAGTGGGGGGGTGGAGGAAGACTATCAGGATAAATAGTTAATGTATGTGAAGCTTAATACTTAGATGATGGGTTGATAGGTGCAGCAAACTACCAATGGTACATGTTTATCTATGTAACAAACTTGCATGTCCTGAACATGTATCCTGGAACTTAAAATTAAATTTAAAAAATTTGTTTAAGTGCTATGGTATTTAGAGTCTACTGAAATTATAAAGGTAAAGGTTCTATGTAATACTTTTTATTTTTTAAGTGTTAACATTTAAAATATGCCTGAAATAACATTATTTACTGTTTTTAAACATATGACAAAATCTTAATGGCAATTTTTAAATATGTAAAGAGACCCAGACTTTTTCTAAATACTCCATGAGTATACATAACCCAAACTGTGGAGACCTCTGGTCTAAGTAATATGCATCTTCACAGAGGTTTTCTGATCTGCCTGAAGAATTAAATCCCTTAATTAGTCTATCTTATTTTTCTCTCGATTCCTACCACTAACAAAATGCCAGGAAGGTATTTGGTGCTCAAAAATCTTTTCTAAGAGAATAAATAGCATTATAAGCACAAGTTAGTCCTAAGCAAAACTGGAATGTCAGCAACTTACTTTCTGAAACATCTTTATATCATTTATAGATCACTTACTTGTTCAACATTGGCTTCCAGGATATTGTTTGAAAATACAGGCCGAGACTGGTGGCTCATGCCTGTAATCCCAGCACTTTGGGAGGCTCCAGACAGGCAGATCACCTGAGGTCAGGAGTTCGAAACAAGCCTGGCCAACATGGTGAAACCCCATCTCTACTAAAAATACAAAAATTAGCTGGGTGCAATTGTAGGCGCCTGTAATACCAGTTACTCAGGAGGCAGAGGCAGGAGAATCACTTGAACCCGGGAGGCAGAGGTTGTGGTGAGTTGAGATTGTACCACTGCACTCCAGCCTGGGCGACAGAGCAAGACTCCATCCAAATATATATATATGTGTGTATATATATACATATATTTATATAATATTGAATATATAAATATATATATACATATACACATATATATACACACAAATATACATGTGTGTATATATATTTATATATTCAATATTATATAAATATATACATATATATGTATAGTTTTAATTAACCATGACTTAATGTATCTCTCATCCCAGGGACAGTTACCGTCTACAAGAGAAATACTTCATTTTAATACCAATTCAATTCATTAAATACTTCTTAAATTCCTACTATATATCACTTCTTTCATTAGAGGCTGATGATATGACAGTGAACAAGACAGTCATGGTCTTATTTTCCAGAAAATGACTTTCTTTCCAAAAAGATGGATATTAAACCAATAATGACAAGTGTGATAAGGATTCAAAAGGAAAATAAAATGAGAGAGGAAACACCAATGAGAAGGATATAACCTGACCTCTGATATCAGGTATAGACAAACTAGTGAGGAACTATCTTACAATGGGTTAGAAAATTGCATATGTGTATAAAAACACACTACTAAATAAATTACTAAAATAATATATGAAAATATATGTGTGTACAAGACAACAGTTGGTGAAAAAGAGTGAACTATTGAGCACTTACAATATTCAAAAGTATGTATTAAGCTCTTCTGAAAATAAAAAGTCAACTATGTTTGGGCCCATCTTGTGTAACATGTTGCACTAAAGTCTGAAAGAAAATTTATAGCTTATAAACTTTATCTCTCAATGGAACACATATCCTCAGCTATTTTAAATAAATTATATATATATATATATCATTGATAACATATGATATATACCACATTTCATATGATGATATATATTATATATCATATATAGCAACATATCAATGATCATTTATATATATCATGTTAAAGAGTTCCTAAGACTTCTTAAAATATCCAATATTTGCCAAGAATATATAATTACAGCTTCAATGAATAACAACATTTATTTAAAATTGTAAAGCATCAAAAGCTCACCTTTAATTCTCTTCTCTCTTCTTCCCCCAGCAGTTGTTCCATATTTTCTATCCATGCAAAACAAAGCAATAATATAAGGCCCAGGGCCATCGTAGTGCAAATAGGTCTAGCTTTGATTTTCTGTTCCAATAATTCTGACTCTGTGATCTTAGAAAAGTTGCTTAACCTCTCATCTTAGTATCATCAGTGCAAAATAAGAAAACACTACTGTTAATATATTCATCATGTAATTGTCACTGAACACGTGAAATGATTTATCCTCAAGTGTCTTTAATATTAATGTAGAATATTTTATATTATTATCTCAGCCTAAATCAATCTGTTTTTGCATTTTAATCCTGAAGTACAAGAGCAGAATTAAAAGTTTTTCACATGTTAAAATGATGCCACACAACTAAGGGTATAGGTTGATAGAGATTTGGAAAAGGGTAGGACACTCTAAACTGGAATTTCTAAATACAAATCATAAAGATTTTTGGTGATTCTGCCTCTTTCAAAGATCAAATTTGCACATATGATAGAAATATTCAGTACACACACACACACACACACACACACACACGCATTCATACATACACAAAATTGAGAGTGGATAGGTTCAAACATTTGTTTTCAGTCTTGCTGACCAATTTGATAATTTCCTCTAATTTCTTTACAGCCTTGGGTGATATTGGTAGTTTTATTTTCTTCCCTGGTTTATTAGTTATTTTTGACCACCTGAAAGAGCTCAGGGGGAGGGGGGAAAATGGTACGGAGAACCTTATTTCTGGTACTATAGTTTCCATCTGACTAAAATGAAACCTATTGCTCAAGTCCCAGAGATGGCACAAACACAGAAACTTAATTTCCTGAGGTGACTCAATGCAGCACCTAATTCATTTTCAAACTTGTGGTGGTACAATGTAAAGAAGCTTACCAGAAACTTTTTTTTTTTTTTTTTTTTGAAGTTTTGTCAAAGTTTTATTTACATCACTAATTAATGAGGGAAGAAGACAAGATGTTACACCTAACTTGATGTAGTTGTCAAAGAACCACAAATTTATATGTAGTAAAGGAATATTGAAATTAATTGACCACAGCATGTCTATCCATAGGGCAGTAATCAATTACATTCTACCAGATACAACTAATATGCATTTCTATGGATAAGAATTATTTGCATT